AAGTCTGGCAAGATGATCCCTGGACTGGAGGTTGCAAGGGGGTGTTGGGTGAGGGAAGGAAGGGAAACGGGGAGAGACCCAGGAGGCTCTCAGGATCTAGGTGTCAGCCCGGGAAGAGCTGCTTACTAGGCTGCAAAACAGCCCCTGCCCTCGGCTTCCCGCTCCAAGGTATCGGCACCACTTGAAAGAAGAGAGGGGATGGACCTAAACAGTCCAAGCAGGTTTACTGCTGAACCCGAGAGGGACCCCTCTGTCCTGGCCAGCAGAACAAAGGAAAGAGAGGGTCTCTAACAGGTCAAGAGGCTTTTTATGGCCAGGGCTTTGGTGGGCTCTTTGAGGGGAGGGGTCAGGGGAAAAGTGGGCTTGTGGCTTGCTGGAGGACGCTTGTAGCCTAGGTAAGATGATGACACCTAGGTCTCTCTGAATGGTGGGTGGGCTTATTCAGCAGACGGTTCTCAGGTCTGGATTCTATCAGCGGGTATGTTGTTTTTCTACCAAAGAACCCATGTTTCTAAGTGCTTGGACTTGATAACAAAAGCAAACACTGAACCTTTACTCTTGTCTTGCATAAAAGAGGTAAGCAGCACAGGGTAAGTGCTCCAGCTCTGGGATTTTAGCGCAGAGAGACTGATATGCAGGGGACATCAAGTTAATCGTTTCAGTCCTGCTGGCTCTCTGCTTAGAAGACAGTTTGGTTTACAATCATAAATGAGCTCAGTATAAGTTTTCTGGCGCATTAATGCTGTTGGAATAACCTGCCTGCTTGAAACAGCTTTAGTAAGATTTCTGAAGCATCAGTTGCTTTCAGTTTTATTTACCTCCTTTCTATCCCACTTGAGTATGTGTCATTTCTGATGTGATGATTGGGTTTAGTGTTGTATAGTGTTTTAAATTCCAGTTTCCCTAAAAACAGGAGAAAGAACCCAAACCTTTGTTCAGTATGTGGTAATGTTAGATTGAAGCAGCAGGGGGAACAGAGGCACTAAAGGTAGGTGTTTACATATTTTGCAATCCATTTCAAAGTTCCTTTTCGTGTTTTCTGTGTAGGAAGTTTAGGATTGAGAAGTAGAGAAACTTAGTATAGGTCAAAAAAACCCTAAAACTTGGGTCAGTAATTTATTTTATGCTTAAGTATGAAGCAGCTTGCCACATAATTTATTAAAGATTGAAAAATCACACTATACTTTGCTTCAGTGGTCACTGAAAATTACTGTTTTTGTAGAACTAATTTTTAAAGATGTTCCTTACTAGTGGATATCTACACCATTTCTCCTAAGTATCCCTTTGAGTTGTTACCGATGTCTCTGAATGGAGAAACACTCTCGTATTTTTAACTTTCTACTTTATTATTACTGAATCTTTATAAGGTTTTTCACCTGTGTTAAGTGTTTAGTTCTTCCAAACTGGAAATTATATAGCACCATGCAACTGCATTTTGATGAGACATTGTTTTTAAAGTATTATTTGCTTATATATGTAACAGATTAACTGGGCTTGGAGATAGAGCCATATTTGATACGGGAATAAGTTTTAGTCTTGAGGGGGATTTAGGCATCTTCCAATTTTTAACGTGACAGATGCAGTAATGAAACCGAGAGCAGCGTGCATGGTTTGGAGGAGTCAGGCTCTCTGTTAAAGAGGAAGAGAAACATCTTGAAACCCAATGAGGATAGGCAAAATGTGGGCAGGAGAGTGTGTTCCCTTCACACAACAGGGACCACCATGCATCTCAAGGCTAATGCCGGGTGTCTGGCGTGTAGCAGGCTTCCAGTAAATGTGTGCTGACTGTAGGGCTGAATGCCCACGTTTGCAGGATGGCAAACTGAAGTACCACAGGACGCGGGAAAAGCTTTCATTTCGTCTGATATGCATCTGACACTGATATACTGCAGTAGACCTATATGTATGTAAAATAAGTGGCTATCTATTCGTGATAAGCTTTTAAAAATATTTTTTCTTCGTTTTTAATATTAAATGTAATTCTTAATGTTAGGCAGGAAAATAAATATGAGCGGAGTGGTACGAGAAGAAGGCCAGGGAAGTCCACTCAAAGTACCCAGAGTTAATCAATTAAAACTCAAAAACCAGGAGTAACTTAGCCTGGAACGTTTGAATGTTCCCCAGATAAAGGAAGGTACCTCAGCATAGCCTGTCTTTACTGTGTTGACCATGCAGGCCAAGCCATAAACAGCATAGTAAAAGGCAGGAAGAATTCCATCTTAAAAATAAGATTGCATTTTAATACCCAGGAAGTTAAGAAGTAAGATTCTTAACTTCCTCTTTAGCAGACAGACACTAACTCAGCCCACCTTGGGGGTTGGGCAAGCAGTCTGTTTGATATGCTCGCAGACCAAGACGCCAGTAACCCAGAGAGAGATGAGAGCAGTAAAGTTCCCGTGTTAATTTAAATATTCAAAGACCACTTAACAAGTCTCCACCCCCAGCCCTTTGTCACATTCCTTAAAGAATCCTTAAAAGGGAGAACCCCAAACCTTTCTGGGCGCTCCTGTCTCTGAGGTCGTCCGCACTTTTTAACTTTAAACTCTCTTTTCAACCTTTCAGGGGGCGTTCCTCTCTCTGGGGTCGCCCGCTCTTTCTAGGTGCATAACCTTTCAATCTTAACCTTTTCCCAACCTTTCAGGGGCGGCCTTTCCCAATCTTCTCTAGGGCAGCCCACACTCCCCTTTCTCCAAGTGTGCTCCTTTTTGCCTGACATAAACTTCTCACTTAAACGCCTTGTCTCTGCGCCTTGCCAGTGGTTAAGTGGTTTATTAATTTGCTTTGTCATTCTAATCCTCCGGATTTCGACTTTAACCTTCACTCTCTCCTTCTTATCTCAGACAAGTAGGGAGGGGCTGCTGAGAGCTCAGACCTGGGCTTGCCAATTACCATCGCCTGGGTGACCGGGATCTGCAGTTTACAGTCATGCTCTTTAGTAACCTGCCGGAAAGTCTCCCTTTACCTATAGGAAGTACATAGGACATAATCTCACTCCATCTAGTGTTTGGCTCCCCCAAAGCCTGGGGTGGTAGGGACTCAGTTCCCATGCCGTGCAGATCCAAGCGGACTCTGGATGCCAGGTGGTGACACTGGCTTGAGGAGTTAGCAGGGGTTGTGCCCCATGCTGAGAAGCTGAACTTCCTTTATTATTCTATTCTGTCATTCCTTAACACTCTTGCTGTAATGAAGTCCTTCCTCACCTTGTACTCTGACTTCCCTGCATCTCAGAACCGAACTCTCCCTAACATTAAGATCCACTCCTTGATTTTTTTTTCCATTGTGGAAGAATATAAATTTAAAAGATTTCTCAGATTATCACTCTGCAGTGGGCCAGAAACACATTGTTTCTGTATGTGTATATGCAGAGCAACACTTGGAAAGGGCCCTGAGCAGCTTGCTATCGTGCCTCTTCTCCCCAGTTTCCACAATTAAAATACTGAAAGTAGACCGTTGAGCCCAAGACCACTCTTAAACCATTACTTGGAAGGAAAGGAGGATTCTAACCATTTTCCTGTATCAGTCTGCTCAGATTCATCTGTCGGCTGCCCTGTAGTTTCCTCAGGGACACTGTGCTCTCAGTAGGGAGGTCAGGATGAAGACTGGGTAGGTGTGGGAGGCTCGCTGGAGGAACAGTCTTCACATGGAGCCAGGGTAGATGATACCGACCCCAAAAGTCATGCCCAGGCTTCTGAGGAGGAGGAAGCATCTCAGCAGTGCCGTCAGAGTAGAGGTCAGCTGGCAGGGATAAAGGCAGGGTTTCAGTCTTCCCTTATCTGTTTTTGGTAGCCTGCCTTCTCTTACCACACCGTACCCTATATTTTAAAAGTTACTTAAAAAAAAAAAAAAAACGGAGAGGAAGATCTCATTAAGAGCCTGAAAAA